CTTTTACGTTTGTCCGTTCATGGAAGCTACCTTCCATGGTTTGTCGTATCCCACACGACGTGTTGGCACAACTACGACGATATGATCTTTGTCCTGTTTTAACGTTCGATTTCAAGCATAACGCATGATTTTCTAAGTGAACCGAAAATGACATACTAGTAATAAAAACATATTGGCAATTCGAGATGAAACTTAAAAAACAGCTCAAATTTATTTTGTCGTACGGTTTGAGTCGAAATATTCTGCTCAGCATTGATATATTATAAAAGCGATTGTAAAATCGTAAAAGTTGGTGTCTAATTTAGTCCTGATTCTGAATTTTATTATTATGTCAATGAAAACATCAGTTGTACAACTTTCAAATCGAAATCTAATGAACATTTGGCGAACACATGTTTGATTGTTGTACATGAAACGATCAATTTAGCAAAGTAACTTAAAAAAAAACCTCCATTTACATCGCCGGACTGTTGGCCAGGCGAGAATAGAAACAAAAGTATTTCTTTCTGTAGTGTGAGGGCGATATATTGGAAGACACGATACTAACGTCAAGTGGTGATATCTCCATGAAAATGACCACGCCCATATTTTAGAAACCGCGCCCACTTTTGCGAAACAACTTCCAAATAGTAACTCTATGTTCAATTAACAGTTAACAGAACTTCAAATTAAGGGCAACTTACATTTTTGTTTTTGTTGAACGTCCACATTTAGTAACTCAAACTTTTATTAACAGTTAATATAGATTTGTTTTTTTAATGTTAAAATTTAGTAACTCAATTTGTATTTAAAAGGAAATATAAATCGTAAACCCCCAAATAATAATCACTGTATATTTTGATAAATAAGCGTCTGTTGTTTTTATCATAGACAAGTACTCAAATTGGAGTGGTGTATTCTATAGAACTTTTGGTTTTCTATAGGATCGCCTTCAATAGCATTTACCTTCCCCAAGTTTCATTATAATCACATTCCATGGCATTCATATTAAGAGTTCTGGTTTCAATAGGATCACAATCTGTGGCATTCATTTTCCACAAGAGTGAGGTATCATATAGGGGTTCTGATATTCTATAGGATTTCATTCTATGGCATTCACCTTCCACGGGGTGTTGAATTCTGGTTTTCAATAGGATCACATTCCAAAAGTTTTTGCTTAACACAAGAATGGTGTAAACTATAGGGATTCTGGTTCTCTACAGGATTTTCATCTTTTGTGATTTACCTTCCTCGAGTGTATTGTATTCTATAGGGGTTCTGGTTTTCTATAGAATCTCATTCTATGTAATTCACTTTCCTCAAGAGTGGTGTATTCTATAGAGGTTCTGGTTTTCTATAGGATCTCATTGTATGTGATTCACTTTCCCCGAGAGTGTTGTATTCTATAGAGGTTCTGTTTTTTTTTATAGGATTTCATTCTGTGTAATTCACTTTCCTCACGAGTTTTGTACTCTATAGGGGTTCTGGTTTTCTATAGGATCTCATTCTGTGTAATTCACTTTCCTCAAGAGTGTTGTACTAAATAGGGGTTCTGGTTTTATATAGGATCTCATTGTATGTAATTCACTTTCGTCAAGAGTGTTGTATTCTATAGGGGTTCTGGTTTTCTACAGGATTTCATTCTGTGTAATTCACTTTCCTCAAGAGTGTTGTACTCTATAGAGGTTCTGGTTTTCTATAGGATCTCATTGTATGTAATTCACTTTCCTCAAGAGTGGTGTTTTCTATAGAGATTCTGGTTTTCTATAGGATCTCATTCTGTGTAATTAACTTTCGTCAAGAGTGTTGTATTCTATAGGGGTTCTGGTTTTCTACAGGATTTCATTCTATGTAATTCACTTTCATCAAGAGTGGCGTATTCTATAGATGTTCTGGTTTTCTATAGGATCTCATTCTATGTAATTCACTTTCATCAAGAGTGGTGTATTCTATAGAGGTTCTGGTTTTCTATAGGATCTCATTCTATGTAATTCATCTTCCTCAAGAGTGTTGTATTCTATAGGGAATCTGGTTTTCTATAGGATCTCATTCTGTGTAATTCACTTTTGTCAAGAGTGGCATATTCTATACCGGTTATGGTTTTCTATAGGATCTCATTCTATGGCTTTTAATAAAAAAAATGAAAGGTGGTTTAAAATTTTTTTATTTTATTCAAGTAAAATGAAACATACAAGTGGGGCTATACAGACTGCGATTTAACATTCTGTAAATTGCTGCTACCGGTAATTTTTATGATTGATTTCAGAAAAGTCAATTTTAGTTTACATGTTATTGAACGTTTTCTAGTTAGAAAATTTGGCAATTTGCCCTCACCCAGAAAATTCATGAATAATTAATTGATTTGTCTCTTACCAAATCAAAGTGAATTACATTAAAATGATACAAATATAAAACATGCAGCACAAATCACCCCCTCCCCCTCCCAAAATAGGAGTGGAATTCATTTGAACCCTTTCCAAATATTTGTAATGCTTTTGAAAGCTAAAATAACATTTTAAAATATATTATTTTAATATATTATTTTAGACCATACAGAAGTGTTCACAAGTTTTGATATTGATATGCAAATGAATTCCATTTTTGAAAATACCAAAATATCATGGGAAGAGAAGGTTGTACACCACTTTTACTATGTTTATTAACAATTAATTTGGCACCTTGAAATACAGCAATATTTTCCTTTACGTATATCCTCTTAATATGAGAGGAAAACGCTATATGATATAGTTATTCAGGTTGTTGCTGTTGTCTGATTTTGCAACTTAGAATATTAAATTGTCGTAGTTGTTGCATTGCATTGTGTCCTGTCATGTTGGATTGTGTTTGAAATTGGTCACAAGAGACTTTTACAATATGCGAGAAATAATTCATGCATCACTGTGTGGCGTCTGTTCTCTCAACGTAACTACACATGCGATGATTAATGAACCTTCATCAATGTTTGAACAGCAACCAATTGTTTGTGTATATTCTATAATTTCTTTGTTAATTTTGAACAAAATGTTGACAATTACACTTTGAATAATGGTCTTGATCTGAAATATTGAGGACAAAATTATGCAGGTTTATTTTGCGAAAAGTGGCAAAAATAGGCTTTCAAAGCTTTAAATAAGGAAGAAATTAATAAAAAAATTAAACAATATCAATATATAGTTAGTTAAAATCATCTTAAAATTATTGTCAAAAATACTGTTCAACAAAAATGTTCATAGCTACAAAATGTAACAAAAAATATTAATGTCATGTTTATTTGTCATACAGAAGACAATACCTTCTTGAATTTATGATCTAGTTATCCAAATATACATATCCAAATTAACAATAATTTTTAGAAATACAATATGAAATTATAACCATGTGTAAATTTTTTACTGAAAAAATAAAAATATAAAATCAATTTATTTTAAATTGGTATTTCATTTTTCTACTTTGCTCATATTCATAGCACATACACATACTACTACAATGCTAGATTTACACATTAAAGTTGCATTCCAACTTTGTAAATATGTGAAAATCCCTCCCAGAACAAACTAAAAACAAAATATGCTGCTGCTTTTATATCTAAAAGCATGATATATTAAAAGTAGGTTTCCTGCCCTCACTTTTCTGCTCCTTTCAGTTTGAAGATACTGGAGGGTGTTATCTTAGAGACAAACATACCTACATTTGTAGTGTTCATGCTACACAAAGTATGGACTAAGATTTAAACTAAGTAATCTCATATGTTTGCATATCGGATAGACCCAATTGCGTTCACGCACAGAAGAAAGAAGTGGTTAGCACAGGCTAAGCAATATCAAAGCAAGTTCATATGCAGATTGCAGAATAAAAGGAAGCAGCACAGAGTGTCATCGTTAGTTCATTTTTGTTCTCAAGAACAATGTCCGCAGATGTGCCCGATTGTTGATTGTCATGTCTGAAATGGCATGTCGCAATTAATAGTTATGAATATAATAGCAAATCGTTCAAATGAACATTGAATTCAATGTCGTTTTTTGTGCTTAGCCCGAGCTAAGTGTTCACCGGGTCCTAAAAACAGGCCAGATTTAATCCATACTTAGCGTTTCTTAGCACAGGCTGAGGTATTTGTCCTCTTAGCCCGTGCTAAGGAGCTGTGCGTGAACGCTACTATTGTTACTGACCTCCAAGAACAAACAAGGCCCCCTAACTTGGGGAGTGTCTATCTAGTATAATTTAACAGGTCCACTTAAATTCTTATTCTGTTGTGAATCTCTTTTACCGTAACTCATTTACAACAATTGATGGTGTATATTAGTAAGAGGACGGTACCTCACAAATTTACAAAATGGGTACGGAAGTTAAAACAGTTCTTGAGTAACCAGGGATGCAGAAATAAAATAATGAAAAAAAAAAAAAAAAACATTGTAAAATGAAGACATAACTGTTAAAATATTCAAAATAGATAAAAATATCACCCAACCATGAACCATCTCTCAAAAAAATTATTTTACTGATTTCTGTTACAAGCACTCTGATTGCTTATTATACTGACCAATGTCCTCAATTTTTACCAAAAAATATTATAAAGTATGTTGTTTTATTCTTGATTTAATTCTAAAATATAATTATAATGTATAAAATATTTGCTCTATTAGTAGTGCGTGCATAAAAAACAGAAGTGTCTTTATGGACAAAATAAGCCATATTTTTAGTAAATGCAATTTTTGTTTTTTCTGCACTTGCATTGGAGGTGTGCATGCTTCTAATAGAGTAAATAAGGATTGTTGATTATTTGTTGAGCATACATTTCGTAGCAGGTGGGAAAATTAAAATCCATTTTTATGTGCAAAAATTAGCACTTGCACACATTTGTTAGCCATTTTGAATATTTAAGAGCGTTAAATCTATTATCACACAATAATAGATCAGTATTAAAATTTAAGTTCTTGTGCTTGTTACACTATTTTTGAGTGCTTTGTGAAATTATGTTCTCGATTATGAGTTACATATAATTCTAAATGTAATTCAAACACATCTTACATTGGAGCATCCAAATACAGTCTTTTTCTCAGCGTATACTGTGGCGCAGGGACTTGAACGAAGCCATCTGAACTCTCTTGGGCGACAGTGTCATTCACGATTGTCAGAATGTCGAGTAGATGCAGTCGGTTATAATACTTGTCTAATGCCTTCACCAGTGCACCAACGTACCACGAACCATCGGTTGTGTGTCGGTATGACACAAATCCCGGTACGGTTGCATAGCCGAGTAAGAAATCAGCCTGATCCGGGATCACATTGTTGACATGAACCGCATCTTCCTGCAAACCTTCAGGTTTCTCACTCTCTTCATTCTGACATGCCTATAATATAAAGAAAAAAATGGAAAATTATTCGCAATAATGAACAATTGAATTAATGAGGAAAAGAAAGTATTTGTGAAGACACGCCCTATTTTGTTTATGTTCTTGGCACGTCGATTGACTCAGGCTTATTGGTCAAAAAAATAACCCAATCCTTCAAGTTAATTGTCACTGAATTAGAAGAATATTCATACATGGCTGCAACTATAGCTAGATATATGATAAAAACTAAATACTGTGGAATACTTTATTTTCGCTGGAATTAATTTTCGCTGAAAAGGCTTTTTGGGTATTTTGTATGGAATTTATTTTCATTGATTTTTGATGAGTTTAATGTAAAATATAGGAAAAAAAGTATATTCGCTGGATTTTATTTTCACGGAATCATCCCTTTAGCGAAAATAGCGAAAATAAATTCCAAGCGAAAATAAAGTATTCTACAGTAGTTATCAAAATTATCAGTACATAAGTACAACGAAAGAAATGCAAAGTTTTGCCATAGAGGGCAGTCTATATGTATTTTTTAGAACAGCCAATGTCATTTAGGTTTATGAGTATACATACATGCTTTAGCTGACTTCAGTGTATATTCACTATATTTTTCTTTATAGTTTATTAAACATTTATTATTTTTCTATGTATATTTATCATTCATGTGTGTTTAACGTTTAGGCATAAGACTGTATTCACAGCAATGCATATTTGCTTGGCTTACGATAACTTTTTTTGTCATGTCACTATTAAGTAACATGTTGATATCTTTAGCTTAGTTTCACTGACTACTGTTTTTGGGCAATTGTTTTAGCAGATTAGTGTTGTGGCTTTTCCTAGTTGGGTATAGGCAAATTATCAAAAAATTGTATTAACAACAAACCTGAATAAAGAAGAGCTTTGGTTTTCCTCTCAAAGTTGGACATCGAGAAGAAACAAAAGTACTTGTGATGTCACTGATCTTGACAGCAATGCTATCACTACCATAAACCACACCCGCTGAACCATGCGTCAGGATACAACAAACAAACATGTCGTACACTTCATGATCTTCTTGACTCACTTGTATCAGTACGCGCATCAAATCATCAGAACTTAGATCTTCATGAACTTGGACTTCAAACTTTAACTGACTGAAAATTGATTGAAGTTTTTCTGGAAAAAAAAACAAAAACAAGAAAAATTGTACTTAAAATTGATATCCTTGCAAATATTTGCTGTTGTCAGGTGAGCATTTGAATTACTGCAGATGCCATCTTAGTAATGAGGTTTATGAATTAAGTTGGTGTGTGAAAATGTTACAAATTTTTAGTAAACAATCAACAAATGTTCAGCACTCTTCAACAAGCTGTTTGCACAATTGTCACATGTAGAAATACAATTGCAACAAATATTAAAGCTGATTGCGTTGCATAAAAACAAGCCTATCATAAAATACAACCGCTGAAAATTGTTCTTCCAGTGTATGTATCCACTGATAGCCAGAGATAAATTTTTGTGAATTTCCTGAGTCAGAGAAAATTTGTAGCAGTAACAAATTTTTCTGGGTTTCAGTGACTTTAGCGTAATTTCGTCTTCACAAATGCCAGACATTCCTGAAAATTTCTAGCAGTGAAAATTATTTGAAATTGAAACTTAACTTACTTAAAACAGGAGAGTTGTCACCTGCGCAAGCATCAGATGGCCATAGCGTGTCATTATTTACAAACAAGCGTCTGCCCACGAGCCTTTGCGTTTTTAGCATGTGCTGTTATCGTCGCTTGGGATTCAATTCCCACGTGTGCGCAGGTGACGACCCTCCTGCTTAGATTTTTGAGAACAAGATTTTTTGTAACCCAAACTAAAGATTATGTCGGAGCTCATTATAGTATTTTCCAGTGTACAACTTTGTCTACCTAATTTACATAACAATTATTATTGTTTAAAGAGGTTGTAGGGAAAATTATTGCGATTAATAAAATATATAAAAACTTAAGAAATATTCTAACTAAATTTAGGTTCAATCTACGAAATATAAAGTAAATATAAAATAAAAATTTGTTTTCATCTATGGACATTTATAAATTTGTGAGTTTAGAACAAGATATTGATGACGACAATGCTCACTTAGAGAACGTAACTCGATTCCATAGCAGGGGAGATTGCATTCACGCTACATTTACACAAAGTAAAAAATAAATCAAATTTGATCGCACTAACAAGGAATTGATTACATTCTTAGTGACACCGAGAAAAGTGATATGCGATTGACAAAAGCTTCCCTGCAGACAAAAAACAAACGTTTGAATACTGTAAATAATCGGTGGGGGTTTGGTAAACATTTCAATACACTAGCAATTTTGTTCTTTGAATAATTACTCAGTTTCATCTTTCAAAATATATGAAACTGATTACCAAACAAAAACATATCTCTGTTGCGTATCGACAATAGTGTTCAAAGCAATTTCTTTAATTTATTTACAATGCATAAAATAATAAATAATAAGGCATAACTATAGAACTAAAATGTGTCTGGCACACGTACATATCTTCAAACGTACAAATCATGCAGTCACTATTTTTAAATCAAATGACACCAAGAACAATTATAAACACATTATTTCGTAATATGTCATTCAAAACTAAATTACATGCTATTATGATTACAAAGTGTATACTAAATATTATTAACATTGTATTCCCTCTATCAAAACTGTTTCTCCTGTTGGCAAATTGAGAAATCTAACACCATACTGTGTTTACACTGCAATAACATGAACTCAAAATCGGTTTATTTACAGCCAATCATGACCTGGAATAAAAAAAAAATGTGAGCAGGACAATGAAGTTTTATTTTAGTAAAGTAGACTCTGATTGGTTGAAAAATTCTATCATCAAAGAGATCTCTAGAAAATTCCCAAATACAGTGTGACATTTTTGAGACAGTTGATAATAACATCACCACCTGGTACTGAATTATATGTTGAGATTGTGATTTATTTGTCAGGACCTAATTGAGACTCTGTAAGATTCACTTGGATGGCGATGGAAAGAAAACAACACAAGGAATATATTTCTATAGTTGTTATGGCAACCTTACTGATGCATTACACCATTATGAATGAAAAGTTCAGACACATTATTTACAGTGGAATAATAAGTCTCGATATATCAACGACCAAACATGACATTTACACAAATCAGATCCAAATTCTATATGGTGAAACCTATTAAGTTAATTCTTTTTTTGAACTGACTGCAGTGAGCTGTGGGTAATAATATAAATACACACCCATATTGGTGCATAAATTAATTATAATAACAGATTTTATGTATCAAGGAATTAAATCAGTTGAATAATCAACCCTTGGCAAAATCTGAGGATGTGGAAAAAATTTAACTCAAATTTGTTCACATACAGGTATAGACATGTACTTTTATTTTTTCTCAGCAAGGTTTACCTTTACTTCAATATATACCTTTGCAAGGTTTCCTCACTGGCCTAGGGAGTCTTTTGATATATAATGTAAAGTTAATAAAACTGTTTAAACTCCCAGGGTAATATTTTACTGATTTGCTTTACTATATAGCTATCCTACTTGTAAACAAAAGCATGGACAACATTCCTATGTCAAAGATCAGATAAAATTCAAATAAAAGTCTTTTAAACTGGTTCATTTACAAAACATAAAAACATTTTCTTCTGACGGAACTTAAATTCTACAATTATTACCTAACACAATGCTTCTATTAAAATACTTGTTGTCTTCACATGTGATTGAATTGTGAGTATTGTAAACAAACAATGTTCTTTACATGTTGCATGGGACTCACATTTACGCAGTCATGCCCGGCGACTATAACGTTTTAAAAAACATTTTCTTTTTCCTTTGATTTTAATACTGTCACCCACACAATAGGCAATACATTTCAACACTTGCAACATTGAATAACGTAATCTATTATATGACTACTGGTGTTAACAGCTATCAATACAGGCAATCCTACTACTGCATTCATATTTGTTACTAGACACTGGTTTTTGAAATCAATACCTTATTGTAAGAGCTCCTGATTCTAGGCTAATCTCAAACTGTGCTAGGTTGGAATTGGGGCATTCAGTATAGGTAATAAAGGTCAGTGGAACTTTATTCTGGGTCAACATACTGTAAGATACATTATTTTAGCTGGAATTAATTTTCATTGAAAAGACTTTTTGGGTGTTTTGTATGGAATTTATTTTACTGATTGTTGACAAGTTGAATGTAAAATATAGGAAAAAAGGAATATTAGCTGGACTATATCATTCTTTCAGCGAAAAAGAAGTTGCAAGCGAAAATAAAGTATTTTACAGTAGGCAAGATTTTATAAACTTTTGGGCAGACTTAATGTACTGTTGAGTACAGGGAGTGGTTGTTCATTGTGTTGCTAGCTATGCATACACACTTCAGAGTAATGTAGTTCAAACCTATTTCAAACCAATAATCACTGATGATAGTGTATTAAAAGCAGCAAGAAAGTTCTTAATTGTTCTTGATTAACAGAATTGAAAGTAATTTATTTTCTGAATAGTCATTATGAACAGTTCAACAACAATGAAGACATTGATACATTTTTGACTTAGAACTTGTTTACTCTAACACTGGTTATTTGTATAGTGGTCTAAAACCCCCTTAGGATATTTGGAAACAGTTCATTACAGTACATACGTCTTATTCACTGTATTCATGAGAGTTTGTGAAACAAGATCTCATTACAGAAAATAAATAAATAAATTAGAAACATTCTTTGATATAAATAAAGATATTTTCAAACAAACTGTAACATCATTAATGTTTCACTGTTTTTTCAATTTCCTATTTTCCGCAGATAAATTAAATCAAATTTATTTAATTAAAGTCATGTGAATAGTAATCAAGGTTACAATGAGTTTGCCTGGAAATTTGTGAATTTGAATCTTAAATGATCAAAATGGTGATAATAAATACCAGTGTGAAATTTAATGCTTTTACAGCATTTATAAGCATTTAAAAAGAAAAGACAAACAATAATAATGTCCTATTGTATTTGGGACACCCTGTGAACTCTGTAATCACTAAACAGTTCATCAAAGGTCATCTTTCCCAATACTAGTTGCTACACACAAACAGTTAGGTGTTTAAGCTGCTTTTGTAGAAATGCGATATCAGCACAGAGTAGCTGTGGTCAGCTTCGAGGGAGCATGGCAACTGTTCGGTGTAATTGAAACGCCATTGTCAATGTCTCAATGCCTTGAAAATAGAGCCGCAGCTGGTGTTCATTGTCATCAAAACACTCGACTGGTTATCTATTATATCTCTGCTGATCAACACTATTGAAATGAATCAATAAGGCCAGAGTTGATTTGGCGCCAATTTCATGGTTGAGACTGTGACCTTTATTAGCATAGGGTTGTGAAATCTGACAACATTATGAAATCTCTATTTTATAGGTTAATTTAATTAATACATGTACATTAATATTTTGTTTCTTTGGACAATGTCATGGGAAATCAAATGTCAACCCTTGATCCAATTCCACAGGTGTTCTGACTTAACTACCTTAAAAAACATTGAAATAGCTCCATGCCATTTTAGCAAATTTGACTCCATGCATGAATTAACTAAATCTTAATTTAGCTAAAATGCCAACAATCTCATTGTGAGAATATACTTTATTCTAAATTAGCGACATCTTGAATTAGCAAAATTACAAGTTAGCTAAATTAGCTAAAATGACGTGTTTTACAGTAATCAATTGTTAACCATTAATTTTGTGAGCGAAAATTTTGTGAATCAGTAAAAAGTGTTTTAGCGGTGAAAATTTGTCTGGGGTTTTATGTCATTGACTTTCACAAAAAATATGCTTCAATAAATGCGATAAAATTTTTGGCAGCAAAGATTGAATGGTTTACAGTGTATTTTATTGATTATATCTCAGGTGTTGGATTTGATTTGAGATCAAATTCCCCCAAAACTTACCGGTATTCGTAAATCAATCATAAATAATCATACTATTTCCTACTCAAAAAATTGCGCAAAATTGTTTGTAATTTTCAATAATTTCATTGTGTACAGGTCTTGATTAAAATATAAACAAAAATATATATATATAAATTATTCTTGTGAAAAATGTTGCACTGAAATTTAGATAGGCAA